TTTGCTTTTCATAACGGAAAAAGGATTACTACGTACCTGAAGTCAAATTAAGGATAATAATATATGTACCAGAACAATATGTTGTAGTTTTAGGAAAGTGTGCATAAGCAAAAGTTTCGAAATCCTGAAATTCTCAAGTTCATATTAACATTATTAAAATATATTTTTCGAAAATTAAATTTAAAATATTTATTGCTTATGCTTAAAATTCCAGAGATTACTGAAGAAAATAAGATCAAATAAAAAATGTAAAACATAAAAATAAAATGAAAATAATAAGATATTAATACATGCACAATATGGTAAGGACTGCGAGGACATTCGAATAATTAATATCGAAGAACAATATAAATGGATGGAAATTTCTGAGGAAAACCTTTTAACTTTATGTTTTATTTTACTGCGTAGGTTAATACCGGTATCGCAAAATTACTTATAAAACAACTCTATTATTTTTTTGTTTTATTATTACTTTATATAAAAAAAAAAACTTTTTGTGACAAAATTCTATTTTTAATCATATTTAAACATGGAGAGCTTTCAGACTTTTGTTTAGGAACAGAGTGCGCGTTACAGTTAGTCAAATTTATAGTACATCAAATCCTGGAGAAGAGCCAAGAAAAACATTTGTCGACTTCAAAACCGCTTTTCACTCAACTAGAAGCACTCTCTATGCCGCTATTCCTGAATTTGGTACCCTAGCAAAACTTTTACGACTATGTAAATGACGCTAAGCAACATCACCAGTTCCGTTAGAATCGGGAAGAACCTCATCGAGCCCTTTGATACCAAACGAGGTTTTAGACAGGGTGACGCCTTCGCGTGTAACTACTTTAACCTAATGTGAAAAACGATAGTTCGAACAGCAGATTTAAACCGCACTAGCACAATATTCTACAAAAAATTTTTTTCCAATCTAGCAAACAAGCGAAGTAAATAGGTCTTGGGGTAAATGAGGATAAAACAAAGTACTTTTTGTTAACAAATATATCTCCCGAGCGGCTTTGAACCTATGTCACTGTTGCCAATTATAAGTTCGAAGTTGTGAAAGACTTTGTTTATATAGAAGCCAGCGTTCAATTTTTTTCCATTTATTCTGAGGAAATTTGTCAAATATAATAAAAAAGTGAAAAATATTTTCAGAAGCAATTACAAAGATTGAAAGGCATTTTAACAAGTCCAGTCCTTACTAGAACATTATAAAATTCTGATATGCTTTTATTCATAAGACAGACGACTTAAAGTTATTGACCTTCATAAACCTTAATTCCTGTATTATTCTTTTAATATAATAACTAACATTATTACTTTTATTATTGTTATTTTTTGCTTATAGTTAATTCATACATTATTAATTATAACATATTAATAATTGTTTATATGAACTTAAACAATTTTTTATTGAAAACCCTTAATGGTCAGCAAGCATATACCATATGCTTCGCTCTGATTACATTTATCTTCCAAACACTTGCACTTGCACATAGCCTTCATAGCAATTTTTCTTGTCAAACTGTTTTATTGATACCAATCGACCAACTTTTTCCTTAAGTGGCTATAAATAAAGGACTCCTTCTTATAAATTAGTACTTCTCTCTCTTTGCAATGAAATTGAAAAAGTGTGCAAAAGCTTCATACTAAAGTTTCTTTAAGAATATGTATACACAAATGTATGTACATGAGTTTATATATTTATATTTATATATATATTCAAGAAAATGAAGTGCTATAATATGGCTTAACATATGGGCTTGGAAAGCATTGGGTAATAAAAGAAATAACCTACGAGTACATAATTTAATGTAAGTAATAACTTAACAATATTATCCTGTGCGGAAAAAATAGGTCAGCAAGTTTTCTAAGAAATTTAAATAGAAACATTAAATGGGATATAAACGCATTTCTTAAAACCGATGAAGAATATGGCAGTTAATTTTAATTTTATATTTATTTTATGAAAATGGTTTCAGTAATTCAGGAAAAAAATGGTGATACATGATTTCATTTGATATATCGTAGTTACAGGAAAAATTAAAAAAAAAATCTAAAACACATATAGAATGCGCAAAAATATATTCTGTTCTTTTGATAAATTCACATAAATAAATCAATATCACATTTCATATTATCATATTACTTATTCATATTATACATTCATATACAATGACTCACCTGAGTAATGAGTGATTTTCGTTTTATCAAGCACCACAAGATTAAAAAGTAATTACAGTGTAGTTTGGATAGACTGGGAAACAGATTAATAGAGATTAAAACCTCACGATTCAAATCGATATGTTTTTATGCAGATTGATATTGTCGTTTGGACAAAGAATACATATATACCTATACTAAAAGCACCTCCTGAGAATACACTCAAATTAATAGTTATTGTTATCATTCTAGAACTGCTTATCGTAGCTAGTTTTATCAAATAATTAATTTGTACTGTAATTGCGATGTACAAATAAAAAAAACAAATAAGCTTGAACATCGGAACATCGGAAAAAATTAATCCCATACTAGATGAGGTTAACTGGATTAATAAGAAGAAATGGCTTAAGAAATAAAATTATAAAGTGTTGTAAAATGAGTTCCAGTTTACTTCGGTGTCGTAGAGAATGATTTAGCTGATGGCGTGGTGAACAAGTTTTTCTATTTTTTTCAAAAAGAAAGGTGATCCAAAATAGAAACTTTCAAAGAGAAGAGTTGAAGAGTTTGATAAAAACGTTTAACAATAAAATGACGAAATTATGCCTTCCTACTTTGTCTAGCAGTATAGATCTGAAATGGCAATTTTTTCTCGTAGATGTACACGGCACGTTACTCCCAATATTAACAAGAAGTTGCTTTAGATTATTAGTATTTGATATGTAGATTCTGAATAAAATTCATACTCTCTTCATAATTTTGAGATTAATTAGAGATGCTTAGAAACTCGTGATACATTAGCCTATTATTCGATCTGAATCATTTCTTATATCTTCTTTTTCTTCTTACTTCTGTACGTGGGTTTTAGTATAACGTTAAATCGACTTGGCGTCTTGGATTTTATTTACTTCAAGGATAAAATCAAATCAAGCATAAACTAACACAGAAGGATATTCAAATATACAAAAAAATTTAAATAAATAATAATATAAAAATTTGTTTTATATATAAAATCGTTATAAACTTAGTAGCCAACTAATTTATTTTACTTTAAATATCTAAAATTATTAAACTGAGAGAAGCATAAAGAGTAGAAAATATTTATTTTTTTAGGTTGATTATATTGAAAACTAGTTTTGTTTGTAAAATTATTTATTTAAAGTTCTTAATAAATATTTTATATTTTAGTTGTTATCTTAAAAATTTCATTAAATCGATTCTGAATATAAGAAATGTCTGCAAATCAAAATAATGATATCGTGAATAATACTCAAGACCTCAAACATAACATTGGTGTTGAAAAATTGGATGAGATCAAAGATGATATTAGCAACCAAAACCTTTCTTTAATTGATTCCAGAATTCATTTAACTATTGATGAGGATTCTACACTACCAACATCTGAAAGAAATCGTAGAGCAATCGAAAAGCTAAATCACATTAGCCAAAATATCAACATCTTAAATCGTACTAACTACTTTCGGTGTATATTTTGTGAAGCAGTTCATATTTTTATTCTATTCTAGAGAGAGTTGTGTCCCCACCTCAGGTTATTCCGTTACAAATTGAGGAGTTTAATGAATGTACAGGTGACGAATTAGAAAAGTATATCAATAGTATTGATTGGAGTAAAAGGATTAGAAATGTACTTAAAAATTCAACTATTGATGTCGATAGAGTTCTAGCGAGATTCGAGAAAAGCGAAAGTGGGAAAGGTATGTATATTGTATGTAAAAGAGGTGACCCAACAACCAATTTTTGATGAAATTTATAAAAATTTAAATAAATGCAGAAGATAAAAGTGTTCGTACAATTTAATTTTATATGATAGCTACTGATAAACCTCTGGAGAATATTGTAGAATATGCTTCCACAAATAATAACACCCATACTATTGAAAATATTGCACAATATAAAAGCACTTGCAAGTGGATGGAATGGGTTACGAGCCTTAAAGGTGGTGCTAGAACTACATATGCTGATTTACACAGTGAAGAATTGCTTCAAGAATTCACTCACAACATGGGCCAGAGCATGGAGGATCTCTTAAAAGAAGTTGATGTAGACGATGTTCTATCTGAAAACATTGACGATAACGTATTTGTAGAGAATACGACAACACAATTGGGTAGTAAAAAAAATGACAAAGTGGCAGTCTTCAATAGCGAAAATACAAAGAAGAGCATTGAGCAAGGAGCTAAAGAGAAAGCTACAAATCCTTACTATGAAAAGGCTGAACACTGTCATGATCCAAAGAATATGGGGAATGCATAATTAGTGATATTGCTTCATCAATTAAAATTAAATTATGAGAAAAATGAAAACTGATTAATAAGACTTAAATGTTGTCAATGTCTGCGATTTAACATAATAATTTTTGAAGGAAAATTAGGATGTAGTCATGTTTATATTTTTAAATAAAATGAATATTTCGTTTTCGCAGTTTAGTTTTCAGTTTTTAATTTTATGTCATTTCAAGCATTTAATGATTTTTTTGAACTAATAATTGTATAATATCCACTTCACTTAGTC